CCATAGATAATCGATATTTCAAAATATCGATATCTTCTTTCCAATCTTCAATATTTTGCAATCGATAGTTATGAATGAATGAATGAGAAATGCTAATTAAATATGTAGAAATTATAAATTTCCAAAATACAAAGAACATTTATATGGAATGATTATTCGTCTGCCGGAAATTTTCTATGTTTTACAGGTACAGTACAAATAAAGACTTTATATGTATGAATGACTGTTAAATAATAAAACAACCAACAAAATATAAAATAATAAATATTTTGAATAATTTATGTCTAAGAAATAATAATAATGGAAAAAATGAACAATAACATGAATAAAACTAACCACAAATAAATTAGACGGATCATTATTTATCCCGTTGTCTTACTCCATCGATAGTTACTACTTTGATATTATCAACTATCAATGTCGCCGCTTCAATATTCAAATTTTAAAATAAAAATTAAAACTATCGTTTTCAGAAAGCGCTAAGAATTATATATGAACCTGAAAGTTATTAAAAAAATATATATACAGCCATCTTGCCTGTTTCATATAGAATGTAGGGCGTAGTAGAGTGAAATGTCGATTTAATATCGACTACCGATGGTCATCTTTAACTAGAATTTAATAGTGCGTGGAACACTTCTCAATCAGTAAACTCAATTTGCCCGAATTCGTTAGTTACAACCTTCTCAAACCAAGGCTTAGAATTGTCAAATAATTCTATGTAGGATGCAAATAAATAAGCGTTTCGCTGAATCAGATCTATGTGTGAATTACAGGCGGATCTACGGGAGGTGTGTGGGGGAGAGGGGCTTTCGGGCTTAAGCCTTCCCCCAAAATGGTGAAATATAAACATGTTTTATAGAATAAAATATTAAAAACTATCTCTTCAAGTATTCTTGTTCGTGTAATTACATTTAATAGGACTTCAAGAATCACGTAAACACTATTTCATATATGTAATTAATTTCTTTATTTTTTAAAAATTAATAATCGTTTTATGTAAATGAAAAAAAAAATCTTTCGGGCTGAAGCCCCCTCCCCCCCAAAAAATAAATCCTGGATCCGCTAGTGGTGTGAATGGAAGGCATCAAGGGTGCCCATCCCCAAGGTCGATGGCGCAAGAATCTACCCCTCCCCTCCCTTCTTCCTCCCAAGATTTTTTATTGTCCACCTTTTCTTAAAAACTGAGCAAGCCAAGGTAGTATTAGAAAAATCGTACATATACAATTACACTTGCTGTGTTTTCTCTTATCCCTTAGTCCGATAATTCATAACGTTGCTGAAATTTGCTTCCTAAAAAATTCAAAAACCCTTCAAAACATGCTCCTCTCAAAAATTTTGATGGAACAACTTGCTCCATGAAACTCCCTTCTAGACATCTCTGACAGGCGTAATTAGTTAAATGGAAATTTTTGGAAAATTAGTGGACCGTAACGAAGACATTACACTTCTTATTTCCTGAAATATTTATCTGAGTTTAATTGAAAGGAAATATTTAGTATTTTGTCGATTTTTTTCTATATTCATTCAATTAGCTAATTATTCATTTACACAAGAATTCTGACAGGGTATTTTGTGCCAGTAAGAGACATTCTGAGTTTTGGGGTAAATATGTTTTTTATATAATTCACAAAAATAATATGTATTCTCGAAGAAAAGAATGGTTGGGGTGATCATACAAAGAAGTAATTAAATGTATTTTTGTATTTGCCGACGTTCCGGCCCAAAGTTCAGCCCTGATAGAGCCCTTTTTTTTTACTGATCACACCAACCATTCTTCTCTCCAATTATTCACCATCAAACCACAAAATAAATTCTCCGTTTTTAAACTAAGAAATAGCAAACCACAGATGAATGAATAACAACTTTGGTCTTTTGCAAGACCAAGACCAAGACTACAAAAATTGTTCTAGACCAAGATCACTCTAAGTCTTGCAGTTAAGTCAAAATGATATTATTTTCACATTTATTACGTTGCTTAAACATAATAATCATATAATCTAAACAGCGTTGTTTTATCTTGTGAAATTGTATAACTTTATTTGATTTTTGGCTTTATTACATTTGAGTTGCCCTTCAGTGTGGCAGACTGTATTAATACTCAATAAAAAAACATATATATTTGAATATAGCTTTCCAAATAATAGTTATAAAATTAATTTTTGTTTTCTCTCCCTAACTCCCTTTTTAGGTTATACGGGGGTTTACGCGGAGCAAGGGGTATGGGCTGGGGATTAATGTCAGAGTTAAAATACTCCCTTCCCCTCGGGCAGCGGTACGCTAACTCATAATTATTTTAGTTATCTTCTTATTTTTCTTTTTTATTAGGAAGCTTACGTTTATAATTTTTTTCATATTTTAGGCAATAAAACTTCCAATTTTCTTCATATTTTTTTATTTATGCTTCTTGTCTCTTACGTTTCGGGACAATTTTCTCATCATCAGAGTAATATTTTTATTTTTACATTCTTTTATTTTTTTTTTTTTTTTGTTGATGTGGCACCATTTGTCAAAAATTAAATAATTGTCACTTTTTTAAAAATTAGTTGGTGTTACACATATAAGAGTGAATATGTGTAACACCAACTAATGTTTAGAAAATGTGACAAATATTTAATTTTTGACAAATGGTGCCACATCAAAAAAAAAAAAAAAAAAAAAAATGTAAAAATAAAAATATTACTCTGATGATGAGAACATTGTCCCGAAACGTAAGAGCCAACAAGCATAAATAAAAAAAATATGAAGAAAATTGGAAGTTTTATTGCCTAAAATATGAAAAAATAATTATTTTATTGTCTCCTACTTCGGTTATCAGATTAAAATGTGAAATGATTCCCGATGAGCCAAATAAATATTTGTTTTTTTTTTTTCCTATTTCTATCCTCTAAAAAGTGGAAAATCATTTTAGTGGACATTAACAAAGATTTTATAATAATTCTGTGAAAACTGATATTATTGGTTATCCAAATTAATGGTATATTGTACATATTTTTCAATACTTTAATTAAATTCAACAAGGTATAATCCAACAAGAAAATCTGGCCGTGGATAGCTCAGACCTGATTGGGTAATGGTAGTTTCAGTCCAGACAAGAACATAAAAAGTGTTATATCCGTTTGGTAACACTATGTGCAATCGGTTACGGAGAAACGTTTCAATCAAAATCTAAATAGAAAACTAAAGAACGTGAAGGACGCGCGCCACTTGTTCATAATAAGTGCCCTAAGTGCCCAAAATAATGCCCCCAATATAGTAATACCTAAGTACCTAAACTACTAATATAATATACGCTTTTATGAATTTTATGTGCGAATCTAATACATGTGCTAAAAACATTAATCAATTATTTGTATAAACATGTGTATTTATGCTTTATGAAGTTTCAAATTAACATTATACGGCTCTAACAATTTTAATGGAACTTTCTTCTAATTTTGCACTTAAAAGTCTTTTAATTTTTCGTAATTTTATTGAATTCTCAAGACAATTCTAGAAAAAAATTTTGCGTTGGTTTTTGGTTTTGGTCTTGCGTTTGGGCAACACTAATTTGTACTCTCTTTTCGGTTCATAAAGATTATTGTCTGTTAATGAGTTGAAATCTGTCTATTACTGATATATTTACCTTGAAGTTTAAGTTTGGTTTTATGTTAATTATGTATATACCATTGAAATTAGGACCTTCTCGTATCGGAATTGTTCATAAAGATAAGATTCATAAAAGATAAGATGCCTACGTTTAAACTAGGCGAACTTAAGTTCATTGTCGATAATTCGTTCAGTTATAATTAAAAAATTATAATGATATTTTGTAAACAAATAAATGTTTCCCATGAGTGATTGATAATCAGGATGCAGACAGTTTTCAAGATTTTTATTTGCTGAGATTAATTGTTAAATTATTATATACCTTTACTCAAACTATTGAGCGCCTCTATTGATTGTCATCTCTGCTCTCTTATTCATTCATTTATTAGAAGATAATAGTTATAATTTGTTAACCATATTCCAGTATTAATTTTAACCAAGCCCCTGACTTTCTTTACTATCTTAAAAATACTTCCCCGATTTATCTAATTGAATACCTTCAGTGTTCATTTTTAATAGCATTAAATCGACAGCCACAGTGCAAAAGCCTGTAAGAACATTTTTTTTTTTTTGGAAATTGAAGTTTTGAGCATTTCTCGTGAATCCTCACCTGGCGCCAATTCTGATCCCACAAAATGAAATCTACGAAGTGATAAGTAGGGTGTTATTAAAGGATACTATAGGACAGCAAATCATTGGTTTACGACGAAGGGTAAAGGTGATTTGATGGGATTTATTGGAATTTATTTTAATTCTCCAGTTTTGACACCATTCTTCAAGGTTTGTGATGTGTAATTGAAGAGTTTGTTATGCAATTGTTGGATCATTATTAACTGACAGAATACATCTGTCATCAGTATACGTAGTGATGACAGTGTTAGAATGGGTAAGGATATCCGCTTTATAAACTGTGCAAAGGATAGGACCAAGGATACTACCATGAGGAACTCCGGCAGATTGAGAAAAGAGGGATGAATAGATATTATTGTGATTTACTTTGAAGTGTCTATCAGTAAGATAGGAACTGATGATAAGAAAATATGTAGGGGGGAGGAATTTACGGAGTTATAAAAATCTTAAAAAACTTAATACATCGTGATTATCTGTCAACTATGATATGTAAAGCAGTCGATCAAATTCTTTAAACAGTTTCTATCTAGAAGTTTTCTGAGAAGATTAGTCTTGGGTAATCTTTAACAAGGCGATTGGGTAGTATTTATGAGTTATCCTTTAGGTTATTAAATAATGCAACAAATTTGGTAAAAAATTTATTGATTATTAATCATTTTACAGATCATCAAATCATGAAAGAGTACGGTATAATCATAAAACAATATATCATAGAACAGAATATAACATTTAGACATTTGAAATCGACTTTATACAATTCATCCACTTAAGAAAATATTTTTTGGCTTAAAGATTTTGTGACTTAGATAATAATGATAACTAGAACAGCATTAATTTAGAAATTCATTATCAAAATGAAATATATTTTTTCGAATTTGTTTGTATTAACAAATACAATTTTCCCCATTAAAGCTTTGTACAACATAGCACTTTGTCATAATAAATATAATTATTTTTACATTTTTTTATAACAAATAACATTAACATATAAATAACCATTTTTTATCATATAATACATAATATGTAAAAACTCTACATAGGAGATCATTTCTACATTAGTGCTGAACATGTTATGATAAAATCGGATTTTTAAAAACAAAAAATTTTTTTTTCTTAACTGGGATATTTCATTAATAACCATATATATATTTATAATAAGAATTCATAGATATTTAAAAGAAATTTTCTACTTTATGTGTACTTAACCAACAATTAAAAAATCTGTTATCAATTTCTATCTCTTCATCATCGGACAGTTAACTAACTTCTCTATTACTTTTTTAACTTCTCCATCGTTACAATTATTTTATGTCATAATATTTAGCGTCACAAAAAAATAAAATGAAATAAAAAAAAACACGTAAGTACACTATTAAAGAGGAAATTTCTGTTAAACCAGTCTCAATAAAATTTAATAAAAACATGACGAATAATTCCAAATCACAACTCAGCTACCAGTAGCTTCTACGTGGTGGTGTTAAGTTTCATACACTGGGTCTTTTTCACTGGGTTAACCTAGTACTTTTACATGTTTTTATTTTTTTTTTATATCATGATTTTATACCAAAAATATTTTATCAGTAAATATGCTCAACACAAATATTTTCGAAAACTTAAACAATAAACCACAGTATAACTTTATACCTAAATTAAAAAATAAAATACAATGGTTAAAATACAATAATGGATTATTTATATCTACATATGCCTTGTATTGAACAGTCACTTTGAGACTGACCTAAAAGGCAACATTGAGGGGTATTCTTATGTACAAGGGGAGTATCTTCTTGGAAAGGCGGCTACACGTTTTCATCCTCCTTGTATGGTTGGAAGAGTGGCTTCTTATTCTCGCTGGTGAGTGGCGGTGGTGTCAGTGGGAGCGGTGGGCTGGGGAAGGCCGACGTCATGCAATTGAAGATGCCGCAGCGGCAGCTGGAAGAGCCGTCACAGATGGGCATGACCGGAGGAGGTGGTGGGATGATGTACCTCGGGTAGTGCATGGGGAAGGAGTAGTGCATGGAGGAGAGGATGGAAGCCGCTATCGAGGGGTCGGTGTAAGCAGCGTACATCGGCCAAGCCATCGCCAGCTTCTGTCGCTTATCCTTCATCCGTCTGTTCTGGAACCACACCTGCGAAACAGAAAAAGAAAATTTAGTTGTAGTTGCCACATAAACATCATCTATAAACCGTAGCGGAGCCAGTATTAAATTTTGATTGGACGGCTCCAGCCCGAAAGCTTTATAATTTATTATCATTTAGAACTTTTCTAGTAAGCACTCATATATTTTTAAATTTTCTTTATTGAGTAATATTGCCTTTTGTCTCAATTAAATATGTGCATAATAACGATATTAGTAGCTCATTCACACTTAAGTATAATAAATAAAATAAATTAAACAACAAAATAATATAAATTAAATGTATTTAAACAAAAAAAGCTGATAGTAATGTCGATGAAGGAGGATCATCCTCGGGTGACCTCTGATTTTAAACCCAAATTTGAAAAAAATCGGTCCAGTAGTTTCGGGGAAAATGCGCGGACGGCGGACTGCGGACGGACAAAAAAATTTTTATTCGTTTTTCGAATTCTACGGATCTTGAAAAGCGAAACCTCAAATTTTGAGAGGGGGTTATGTTTTTGATTTTTTTTGGTCGATCACAATGTTTCATTATTGAAAATAATAAACCAAAAATATTTTAAAATCGCGATATCTCTACTAATAGTTCTTTGATTTCGATGAAACTTCCTTCATATTTTAGACAATTTGAATACCTTTGAAACATCTTATCACAATATTATCGAAAAAGTGTATACTTTTTCAGTTATTCGGAATCTAATTTTACCACCCCTCGTAACTTTTTTCCAGCTTCTTTTCGTTGAAATATGTTATATAGATAAATTTAAAGGGCGTCAAGAAAATGACTTTAGCGAAGTTTCATAGAAATCTGTGCATTCTTTAGGAGCTACAGTCTATATCAACGCAGGTTTTTCGGCCGCCATTTTGAAAGTTAATGGCGGAGAGTAATGTCGATGAAGGAGGAATATCCTCGGGTGACCTTTGATTTTATATCAAAATTTGAAAAAAAAATCGGTCCAGTAGTTTCGGAGAAAATGCGCGGACAAAAAAATTTTTATTCGTTTTTCGAATTCTACGCGTCTTGAAACGTGAAACCTCATATTTTGAGAGGGGGTTATGTTTTTGAATTTTTTGGTCGATCACAATGTTTCATTATTGAAAATAATAAACCAAAATTAAATAACAATAATTCAATTTTACATGTGAAACGTGGGCGATTCTCAAGGCATTTGAATACGTAATCGACACCAATATTGAGAAATCAATAATTGTGACCGATTCCCTTATCTGTAATCAAGGGACTGCAAAATACATGGACGTGTAACACATTGCACAAAAAAAAAATCAGCTTATGAACTTGAAACTAAATAAAAATAGTCAAAAAATAATATTGTTTTCTGTACCCTCACACATTGGCATAATTAGCAATGAACGAGCCGAACAGGGAGCAAAGGAAGCCGCCGGAAGGACAGATTCAACTGTTTTAGGATCGATGTTTCTCAACGAATGGAGAAAATAAATTTCAAAGAAAGTGAACAACAGTTGGAATGCACACTGGAGATTACTTCCACTCAATCACTTTCATCTGAAAAAGACTAAAATCGAGCTTGGTATCCTCCAAAACACCTCAAAAGAGTGTTCTATAATAAGCAGGCTCAGAATTGGACAAACCAAACTGACCCATCTCCACCTACTTCTTAGCTTACATCGACCAACATGTGAGGTATGTGAAAATGCTAATCTGACAGTTGAACACATATTCCAGTGCTAAAAGTTCCGGAAACAGCAAATCGAACTTCAAATCGGTGACAAGGCACCGTACAAAGAAAACACTGGTATTGAAAAAACGCTGAAGGCCATTCGAAAAATATAATATGTTATGTTTAAGAAAAAATATCGTCGCTAATAACCCTGGCAGTCGATCCGACGTTAAAAAACAGCAAATAAAAAAAATTAATCAAAATAAATACTTAAATACAGGCATACTTTTATATAATATTTACAAAATTCTTTAACTCGAGAAAACTCCGAGCCAAGTTCTCTTCCTCCTCCCCCTCCACCTCTCCTTCGTTTCGTGAAAAGAAAGACAGAACTAGAAGATCCCAAGACCTATCGCTTAGCCGCATTACTGGTATTAAGGATCAATCATACTAATTGAACAGCTGATAAATTAAAAAGTGGCTGGTTGTGAAGAAGTTAAGTTTAATCAATTTAAAACTGTTGTTTGTTTTATGGTTATATTTTTAGTTTAATGGGAACCAATATCACATTAACGTCATTTTATTTACTTCCCTTCTTTTTTTTAAACAGGAGTTTCGTTTTTTTTTCTGCTAATAGGGATTGCATGTCGGAACCGTTAATAGTGTTATTTATACCCGAGTGGGCTGAGGGCAAAAAAAAGAGGTGATGATCGGAAGGCCTGGTAAAAGAGGAGTCTAAAGAAGAGGCGGAAGCTGTTAACATAACCCTCAAGAAGAGAGCGCTACCGAAATAAAGCCTTTGATCCGGAGAGATGAAGAAGAGGCTAATGGAGGATGTAAGGCCTCTTCTGAGTGGTCCTTATCTCCTCCAATCGCCGCTCAATTAACAACCGCCGCCATTTTCTCTTCGTCCACTTAATACACACTCCGAGCCGCTATCTGTCTCTATCAATGCATCCGCTCCCAATTGCTATGCTCGATTAAACAGTCGAATATGGCCGACAAATGTTTTCACATCGTTATGAAAGGTCAGAACGACAAAAAATGTAATCTACTAAACATAGATTAGATTCTCTAATAGAGACATGTGAATATCTACTACTAGGGATCTACAGAAAGGGAGGGGGTTTTCCGGGCTGAATCTTCCCCCCCCCCAAATTGAAAAAAAAAATAGAAATGTTCTGAAATAAGGAGAGGGAGCGCACTTGCGAAACAGGTGAATTCCATTTTTAAACATTATGGAAGATAATTGGATTGAATAATTACTAGTTCGCGTCTCCGTTACGGGAAGAGCTTCTAACTCGAGCGTAAATAGTTTGTTTTATTTTTTCTATAAAATGGTGGTAAACGTTTTTTAATTGGGTAATTGACGTTTCCTAGTAAAAATAGTTTCCAAGGGAACAGAGCACTCTTAGCAACTTACTTTCAGCTATTTCGCTAATAAATGAAGAATCTAGTGTATAATAAAATAGTGTAAATATTTTTTACTATTTACTAATATTTTATTTTATTTTAAAATTATTCGTTGTTTTTGAGTACATAGCATAAATACAAATTATTTATGTGATATAATTCACTTTATAATTAAAATAATAATAATAAAATTGCTGATTGTATAGTTATTTTTTTAAATGAATTTTTTTCTCCCATTCCAGAGGGGTATGCCCCTCCCCCTTCCCTTAGTATTAAGAGCTACTAATCAAGCATACAGTTATTACGGCCAGGTCATATAGTTGTTACATAATATATTATTAGTAATGTATTACAAATATAATATTTACTTTGATAGTTGATTCCGGTAATTGTAGCTGTGCTGCCAACTCGCATCGTTTCGGCCTGGAGACATAGGCTTCTTTGTTGAACTCAATTTCGAGTATGTTGATTTGATCTCGCGTGAAAGCAGTCCTATATCTTCGGACGTTAGATTCTGGTGGCGTCTCATGGTCTCCATCTAAAAAAAAAGAAGAAGACAAACGTAGATATAAACATCGGTCATATTAAGGTATATTTATATTGGTGTAAACACAATATATTCAAATAAGTGAAACCCCATACACTAACATGCACACCACCACATGCACTAACGGATCCAGAATTTCATTTTGGAGGGGCTTCAGTCCGAAAGATTTTTTTTTTTATATACGTTTCGATAATTACTTCAGAAGAAAGAAAGAAACCAAGTACCTATATGAAATGATAAAGTGATTCCTTAAGTGCTATTAAATGTAATTAGACGAACAATAATACTTTTAGAGATAATTGTTTTCATAGAACATGGTTATATTTTACCATTTTGGGGGGCTTCAGCCCGAAAGCCCTCCTCTCTCCTCCCCCGTAGATCCGGCTGTAAGGATGAGTGAATTAACTAAATTCAGCTTATGTTAAAATGATCGACATCTTTGTGGAAATTATAAGATTATTAAAATGTTTTACAAAGCATTTATATCCCTTGATAAAAGGGTACGGATTTATTGAACAATTTAATTTAATTTAATTTATTTATTGATTAATTATTGTCCTTATATTAAAACGATGAGGGAAGTCAAATACTCTCCACGATATCTATTCTTTTTAAATTATAACTTATAACTTAAATCTTGAAGGAAGTTATTAGACTGTTCTACATATCATGGGTGATAAATATTCAGGACGCAATAATTTTTACAGTGCTTAAACCACGACCTGAAGATGACTCACATGTTTGGGTTGAAAGGTTGGCAAAAATAAAAAATTAAAATTTGTTAATAAAAAATATTGCGTCCTGAATATTTATCACCCATATAACTTAAATAATTAACATAAGTCAATTTGTTTATTTACGTAATTTTAATATTTTTTCTTTTCGGTTTTGCTTTTTCTTTCTATACAATTTTTTTTTTTTTTGTCATTTTTTTCAGTAAAATTATAAGTATAATTGAGAAGATTTTATTTTATTTTTTAGTAATTTACATACTATTATTTAAGTTGCTATATATATTAAGTTATGTACAGATATGTATTTTTTCTTTTGTAACTGTTCATTATTGTTATTCTAAGGGAACATCGTACCAGAATAAAGTTCATTTTCTATTCTAGTCTATATGTAGTTAATAAATATAAGCCCGAGTCAAGAAAAATAAATAAATAAATTAATTCCCTAAAATCGTTATTATTATGAAATCGCCATCCTCCCTCGAAGACTGCTCCTATACTGTCAATTAAGATTGAAATTTGTTTAATAGTAAATTTTAGAAATTTTATGGTTTTAATTGTAGGTTTAAAATCTTAAATTTTTAATTAAAGATCCAAAAATGAAGGTTCTCTAAACATTTACAAGTATAGAACAGATATAATTGGTTAATTAGCTTAATTTCTATATCAATTTATTTGAGGTTTTTACTGTTAGAAGACTCAAGGCAGAAGTCAAAAAGTCAAGAGGCGTAAGAAAAAAAAAAGATGTTTGTTTTAGAATTAAGTTGAGATTCACCTCTATTTTTGTGAAAAATTATCTGATTTGATAATCTTCCCCTCTCCCAGACTATCAGTATTTACAAAAAAAAATTACAACGGAGAAATTATTACAAAATTTTAATTCCTTCTTTTTCTTGGAACCTGACATCTACATTGTAAATTAAATATGAAAATACATAAATCTATTATTTAAGGTGATTGCGCAAGAGTCTCGTAACAGTCTTGCAGTTACTTATTAGCTTATTAGTATAGTGATATTACTGTAATTTTTTAGATGGGAGAAACCTGACTAAGCCCGAATGAAAAATTAGAGGAGTTTAATGCAAAAGTATATGGGTTACATCAATCATTAACATATAGTAACTAAGATTTTCAAGTATTAGTAACTATTTTACCTCAATTTTTATTTAAAAAACCGATTTTTTTTTACCAGACCTGGTCTTGGTCTTGCAACAGTTAGGGGGCCTTGGTCTTGCAAAGTGCAAGACCAAGATCGATTTTGGGCAACACTAAAGGTGATAATGGACCATTGTTTATAACACAGATATCTATTGTGGAGCTCAGAGTCCAATTTTAACTCTATTCTTAAAAAAACCTTAAATAAATTTATATAAAATTAAAGCTTTTTAAAGGAAGTTTTTATATAAGGGGGTATTTGCAGGGAGATAAAAAAAAAACATTGCGAATAGTTCATGATTTAATAAAAAACATAACTTTGGCCGCTCATAAATTAGCGTATTTGTAGAAAATTTTGTTTAGTTTACTATGAAGCAGTTTTTAATTACCTGAATTACATGGCCTTAAGAAAAGGCAAAAATGGACTTGACTCCTTTTCTGCGCCCGAAATCGACCCATACATGAAATAAAACTTTGATATTTAGAATTTAATCAATGATCACCTCCCAGAGTTCGGCCATTAATAACTGAGGCACCTTGTATATAATTAATTTATTAATTAAATTAATATAATAGCATATAATTAAATTATTCATTTATTAATTAATTAATTACATTAATTATTTGTTCGTTTAATAGACCCATGAAAAGGGGAAGTGAGTTAGACGAGCGAGTGCAAACTGAGTGAGGAAGTAGCTGGGACGGCACCAGGGCACTCAGTCCAGGCGCCTCGCCTTTTTTACAAGAGATCTCTCCAGCCCACTTCTTTTCACTCTTCAGCATCTGGGCCGAGCCTTCCGGGGCGAGTGTGGATTAGGGGGTGTTTGTCCCCATCGGGTAATGTGTAGATCATGTCTTCGTAAAACAGAGCGGGCAAGTCGCAACCGCTAGCGTATCCAGGATTTAATTTTGGGGGCTTCTGCCCGAAACCTTTTTAAACAAAACACAAAAAATGACGATAATTACTTTGGAAAAAAAGAAAGGGTAAGCGTACCATTGATGGACATAGCTAAGGAAATATTTGCCTTTTTTTGCTTATGCCGCCGTAATTATTATAATTATAAACTTCTCCGTTGGACATTCAGAATCTCTAGGGTCTTCTTTTTCTATTTAACACTTTAAAATTGAAAAAAATATTCAGTTATGCAGGTGTGATCACCATTAAAAAAAAAAAAAAAAAACATTTTTGCACTAGTGATAGACATCCCTGAATTCAATTGTTCTAGTAATGGACAAGGGGTCGGTACCAGTAATAGTCATAGCTCAGCAAAATTCTAAAATATTTATTTAACTATAAAAATAATGACAAAGATAAGATAAGATAAATATTCAACTTACTCTTTGCAAAACTGTTAGTAGGAAGGTAAGAAACACAGTAATCTCAAGAGTACTGTAGAAACAACAATGATAGGTATTTTAAATTTTTCTTTTGGGAACTTTGCTCATACTGTTGTCAATAGAGTCATTGTTTTTCAAAACTTGAATCTTTAAATCAACAAGAAAGCTTATTATTTACATTTAAAGTCCAACCTGTCCATCACTGGACCCTGGATTTAATTTTTTTTTTTGGGGGGAGGCTTCAGCCCGAAAGCTTTTTTTTTCATAAAAATGACGATAATTACTTTGGAAAAAAAGAAAGAAACTAACTACCTATATGACACAGTGTTTAAGTGATTCCTTAAGTCCTTTCAAATGTAATTACACGAACAATAATACTTTAAGAGATAATTTTTTAATATATTTTTCCATAAAACATGGTTATATTTTACTATATTGGGGGGTGGAGGCTTCAGCCCGAAAGCTCTCCCGTAGATCCGCCCGTGGTCACAACAACTACGACGGGAGCTTTCGGACTGAAGCCACACTTCCTCTATCCTCCCTTCTCCCCCCCCAAAAAAAACAACAAAAAACAATAGAATTTTTTTTCATTGTTCCATATTTGTTTCTGTGAGTTATCTACATACTTAAACAATCTACTATGTATTATTTTTAAATTATGACAAACGTATCCTAGATACTAAATGTAAACAAGGTGTCAAGAAAAATATTTAAAAATTACTTCTAAAAGAATTATTTTTCTTGTAAATATTTTATTTATTTATTATTTTTTTTACGGGCTTTTAAGAACTAGTATGAACGCACCAGATATGGACAGGAAGTCACGGGCGGATCTAGAGGAGGAGGGGGCTTTCAAGCTGAAGCCTCCTCCCCCCAACATGGAAAAATATAACCATGTTTTATTGTTCGTGTAATTGCATTTGAAAGGACTTAAGGAATCACTTAAACACCATTTCATATAGGTAGTTAGTTTCTTTTTTTCCAAAGTAATTACCGTCATTTTTATGAAAAAAAAAGCTTTCGGGCTGAAGCCTCCCCTCCCCCCCAAAAAATTAAATCCTGGATCCGCTAGTGGAGCCCAGTGATGGACGGGCTGGACTTTAAATGTAAATAATAAGGAAGGAGATGGTCCGGGGTTGCGGTCATAAATAGGCTAAATAGTGGTAATTGAAAGCCAATAAAATATTTTTCAATAAAATATTTTTCAATGAAATAGTTTTACCACTATTTAGCCTATTTATGACCGCAACCCCGGACCATCTCCTTCCTTTATAATGCAACGGTCAATTATTAAATATTCAATAAATGATAAGCTTCCTCGTTCATTTAAAAATGCCAGTTTTTTCTAGATTGAAGAACAATAACTCTATTGACAGCTGTATGAACAAAGTTCCCAAAAGAAAAAATTAAAATGCCTATGATTGTTGTTTCTACAGTACTCTTGAGATTACTGCGTTTCTTACCTTCCTGCTAACAGTTTTGCTAAAAGTAAGTTGAACAGTTATCTTATCTTTGTCATTATTTTTATAGTTAAATAAATATTTTATAATTTTCCTGATGCATGTCTATTACTGGTACCGACCTCTTGTCCATTACTAGAACAATTGAATGTAGGGATGTCCATCACTAGTGCAAAAAGGTGTTTTTTTTTTTTAATAGAAATTATAATCCCATAACTGTACATGTTTTTAAATTTTAAAATGTTAAATTAAAATAGAAGACCCTAGAGTCTTTTGAAATAATTACATTATTATAAATAGTAATAATAATAATAATAAAATAAAATAAAAATCGAAGTCCCTCCCTGACTGAAAAATTCAATCCTGAATGAAGTTATTTTTAATTATTGATTTTTAAATAGAAACAGGTACAGATTATCTTTTTGTTAAATTAAATTATTAACATCCATCAAAAACTTCGCGAAGGGGGCGTTCTTTTTGTTAATTCTTGAGGGGCTAAAAACACATGAGAACTATTTGCTTTTAACTTGGGTGTAAGATAATTTGTACAACGCGGGGTCGCCTTAAGGTACAATTTTGAATAATAGCTTATTATAAAATGCTGAACAATTTCATCGCTTACAATATGCAGGTCCGATTTATAGTTTTTGATATATTTTAACACTCCAATTAGTCTACTCCAGCCGACATATTCAATATTAGTCTATTCGATACCCACAAAACACCCACCGCACCTTAAACACTTTTCTCTTCAAAAATTTCCCCACATATGATTTAGGCAATAGTACTAAATCAATAATTGATAATGAATAAGAATATGATTAAATAAATAGAGTACATAACAATCAATAAATATTATAAATAGATAAAGTTACAATAAAATTAAACTACAAACATCAAAACTTTTAATTCCCTTTTAGCCCAAAATATTTTTTTTTAATTAAAATTTCTCCATTTTTGGTTTTTATAAGCAACGGCATGATTATTTATCATATTGATTTATATCTTTCACAAAGATTAAATAAAAATAATAGGATAAACTAACTTAACAGTATCTTTTTATAAATTGTTTTGTGGTGAAAATTATAATAATTGATATTATTTATAATAGCATAAATGGTCACAATTTTAGTTTTTTCGTACCATTGCGACCCTGATCATCAGAGCAGAAGACTCTCTATATAAAAAATAATTTATCATCCGTGATGAATCTTTATTCCGTCTGTAAAGATAATATTTGATATTTTTTTAAAAAATACTACCTTATCATTATATAATATATCTCAAATATTTTTTGTAAATGTGAAAATATGAACTATATTTAACTTATTATAATAATGACAATAAAATTATATATTTATGTTACTATACATAATTAAAATAATTAGTATTAATATATGTTATATAATTTAAAGTAAATATCTAAATAATTTAGCAACGCATCAAAAATGTTTAATTAGAATATTGTTTATAATATCGTAAACTTGCTTTGTGTCGGTTTACTTATCACTACTTTACTTCAGACCTGCTTATCAAACAATAATTATACTCAAAATGTTTAACATGGGTATTTAAATCCTGAAGGAGCATTATCCTAATGACTTAAACATAATTTGAAGAGATATTATGAAGCCAATCCCTAGCAGAAAGGTTAAGAGGGCTGTTATGTTAAGACTACCTATTTAAGCCTCTTATACCTGAACCTAGATAAACTGAAGACCAGGCACGTACAACTCTACCCTTTTAACTCAGGTCAACAAACATCTTAGTGACAAATTAAGGGCAATTAGGACAAATTAGTAGTTTACATGACGTCTTGTTTAACTTGATACATAACTTTTGGTAGTTATTTGTTACAAAAAGTTATAAACCAACTTAAGATAGTTACAACAAAAAAATACAATAATTAATTATGTTTAGATTATTTTAGCTACTAATTTTTACAGATTTTTGAAAATTATTATCCGGGCGAAAATAAACATGATAACGCACTTTTAAAAACAATTAAATAAGCTTTATATAAGGTTAAATTAATAACAGATTATAATCAAATAGGTTTCAACACTAAATTTTTAACATTATCCGATTTAAATAATATTTTAAAAGTACCTACCTACTAAAATATTTGAAATAAAATAGTATTAATTTTTTTTCCGTTTAAAATTTTTAGAACGAAATACAACATACATTGATGAGTTTGTTTTAATTTTGATTGTGATGATTTCGATTTTAACCTAAAAATATTACTTAACTACTGGATATATTATTGGCGAGTATTCCTGTATTTATGATTATGTTATAAAATCTTTAGTAAATGGCTCTTAATTCTTAATCTGATCTTTTTTTGACATAAAATCAATATTCACAAAAATTTTATATATACTAATGGTAATAATGATGAGTAAATTGAATGATGTTTTCATTTATATTTCATTATCACCGAATGATTGTTTAAATATTAGTATTTTAACAGAATTTGATAATGGTCTTTATCATATATTTAGTAGAAAATCATTGATATTTAATCAGTTTGCAGTAAACCTATTTTGTCATAATTATTAGAGCTAATGTAAATTTATAACAACAATTTTTATTTCTTCAAAAAATTAAGATATATTTGAAGTAAAATAATTATGTTCCCTAAAAATAACTTACTTTTGTTTCCAGTAATGAAATATATATATATTTTTTAAATTCTTTAAATATATATATATATATATATATATATATATATATATATATATATATATATATATATATATATACATAATTTTAAATATTAAATATAATAATAAATATAATAAAAATAATATCATAAATTCTTTAAATATATTTTTCATTATCACTGACTGATTGTTTAAATATTATTATTTTAACAGAATTTGATAATGGTCTTTATCATATATTTAGTAGAAAATGATAGATATTTAATCAGTTTGCAGTATTTAACCTACAAATTTATATTGTTATCAAAATCTCTACTTTTGGAAAATGTTGACACTAGTTGCCAAACTAAGCTGTTATAAATACAATATTATTATAATATTGTTATAAAAAATGTTACCATTAACGGTACTATTTTCTCTCAAATATTTAATAGCTATACAGAGAAGTATCACATCGATAGAATTTTTTTTAATTATTGAGTATCAATTTTATTGTTTTTGTTCAATTTGTGTTTTGTTTGAGTAATAATATAACGTTTTAATTATTTATAACATTCTATAGATTATCATTTGGCCTATAAGTACGTAAATGTCAGAGGTACCCAGAAGGGGGTTTCTTTGCGCCATAAAATTTTTTTTTGGGGAGGGTACACATTTTGAAGGGGTTTCGTATTTTTGTGAGGGGCACATTTGGACAGGATTATGAATTTTTGGAATGAAATCTTTCAATCGAGGAAAAAAAAAAGGAGAAAATATATAACAGAACCCTGTAATTGGATATGAACTAAGATTTTTTAAAATTCTACTTTAGCTTTGCACTGTTTAGGAAGAGGAAGGCAAATATCTTAATAAAATATTTTGGGAGGAAGGGAAGATTCGCCATCGACCTTGAGGGGAGGGGGGCTTATGGACACCCCTGATAAATGCTATTAAAAATGAACAAGCTAAAAATAGGAATCATTCTGCTGGCATAGTAGAAACCTTTAACCTTTTTAATGGAATTGCTTTAACATTAACATATTTTTTGGTTAATATGTTAAGTAAATAATACATATTTAATAAAACTAATTTGTTGACAACAGCGCTGATAAGGCTGTGTAGCTTTCAGGTATTAAGTTGTTATTATTTCTTAAATACAGACTTAGTTCCATAACACATAGTTATTTGACTACATAAATAATTTAATAATAGTACAAAATTCACAAAGACCTATTTTATTTTACACAATGAGTTACTAATCCAACTTCAGATAATGAGAAACATCCAGTTTTACTCAATTTTTATATAACGCTATATTTACTTATTAATAATGATATTATTATTGATTTAATAGGTGAAAATTTAAAATATGAATAAAACACAATTTTAATTTATTAATATTATCCAACTGACGTGTTTAGTTTACATTAAAACAATACTCAATTTAACGTTATTGTAATTTTAGTGACTCAATTTTACCATTCAAATGAAAATAGAACAATTTTATTTCTATGAATTTGATAATTATTGTTTAAATACTGTACAAAATTCACAGATTTTAGCTTCAAAAACTATATAAATATTTTTTTTATGGACTGGTTAAAATTGGCTTATTGAGCCTAACCGTTATAGTGTGGAGAAAATTAAATTGTTTGTCAAAACGATTTTATAATAATGAAATGAAGACTGTGGTATTAATGAGTTCTTTTGTCAAATATCATTTATATATTGATTGAATTCGGACACTATAAAATAACCATAGACAATTTGAATTGTGCTAGTGACATTGAATATTTAATAGTTGACCGTTCCATTATAAAGGAAGAAGATCGTTCAGGGTATAAATAAACTAAATAGTGGCAAAACTATTTTATTATAAGCCAACGTTTCGACCCGACTTTGTAGGTCTTCTTCAAGGCTACATCGGACAAGATACAAAAAGATATAGAGAATTGTGGAAGCTACATAATATTTAGATAAAAAATTTTAATAAATAAAAAACGTGAACAAGCTAAGTAACAAGATACTAACGTTGGCTTTTAATAAAACAGTTTTGCCACTACTTAGCCTATTTGTGACCGCCACCCCGGACCATCTCCTTCCCTTTAAATTTGCTAATGTTATCAAACTGATGAGTTTCAAAAATATAAAACAACACTTGATTTAACGTTACTGTAACAGTGCTGAGTACATTTTTTCTGTTTGACATGAATTGTATTAACTGTCACTTCATTGCCTTTGAAAATTTTGATGCTTTTAATAAATGAAACACGACTAATGGTGGTATTAATATTCTAGACTTACGTTTTGGTGAACCTCTCTTAGGTGATCCTTTTGGCGATGATCTGTTAGGCGATGCTCTGTTGGGCGACGCTCTGTTGGGTGATGTGTTCGACGATGATATGTTGGGTGATGACCTGTTATGTGCTGTTTTGGGCGATCGCCGGTTACGATCTTGTCCATAAGCCTGCTGGTACGCTGGAGGAAAGAGGTCCACCACGATGGGCGGAGGTACCACGCCGTTGCTTCTAAAGACTTGTTGAGAAAGTCGCGGATCTACCATGCCGTTCCCGCCGTTTATTCCGTACGTGTACTCCATCTTTCACTGAACTTAAAGGTAACCTTCACTGAACCGATATGGACTCGGAATGCTAGACAAATACCCCTCCCCTGCGTTATATAGTGAGGGGCGGGGGAGCGGAGGGGTGGGAGCAGATTAGGGCCAATGATGGGAGGGGGGGCCACGCCCATCGGCAGCGGATTGGGCAGAGTGGGGCGGAGGCCACGCCCACTAACCTCGTGATCAGAGGCTGTAACCAGTCGATATGATTATCCTCCCCTCATCTGTTTCATTAGCTGTTTATAGCCACTAGCCTCCGTCTCCTCCCCCCGCTCTATCATACATAGTCCTCTCGTCCTCACCCATAATTGCCTTCCCCTCTCTCTTTCTCTCTCTCTCTCTCACTTATCTCTCTCACTTTGAGTATATAGAGAGATATTTATTAAAACATATCAACCGGCAACTCTATTAATTTTCCCATATTGTTGATAATAATAGGATCAATCAATAATAGCAATCCCTATTTTTTTTTTAAATACTTCGGTTCAAACCAATCAAATATAATAATTATCATAATATAATAAATAGTTAACCATTAAGGGGCGGGGTGGCCGAATAGGCTAAAGCGTGTGCACTGCACCGCGAGTCGCCTGACAACCAGATATATGAAGATTTGAGAGACAAGAAAAGTACGAGTTCGCATCCCGGTGCCAGAGGGGATTTTAAATTCCCGCCCCCACCCTCCGGCCCGGGAAAATCCCGTATAGCCTAAACGGCGAGGTAGGGAAGAACAAAAAAAAAAAAAAAAAAAAATAGTTAACCATATTAATAAATCAAGAAGGCTGATTGTAAAGACTATTAGGGGATCCATGATCCAGGATTTTTTTTATCATAGTAATTACTCGGAAGCAAAAAAAGGTGCGACGTAAAACGTTTATGTTCTTTGAAGGATGCTTAAAAAAAAAGAAAAAACTTAATTATAAGAAGAATAATACTTTTAGGTTAATAGATGCACTGATGAATGTAATATCGGTAAAATTGTTTAAATTATTGTTTAAGTATGAAATTTAATGATCTTGCTTAATATTTATTTTGATTAGGTGTTACGCTTTTGATGTTTTTTCCTCTTAAGGAACTCATTTCAAAGCTACTGGGCCATTTAGAGTAATTTGTCTCAGTTTTTGGCAAATTTGTTAAAAATCAGCGTTCGTTGAGCGTGGTGTTCTACCATACCATTTAACCAAATCATTAGATTTAGATACTCGTTCGATGCACACTTTATCGTTCTTTAATTTCTTAAAGTGCTAATTTTTCGATTCGATGCACCGTTTAAAAGTTGTATGTAAAAAAAAAAATCGGACAGATATGGCTTTTTCCTCTGTAAAAACATTTTCCTTGTTTGCTTGCGTTAGGAATTTTGATTAGTACACGTTTGAACCCATATATGCTATTATTGTATTCTTTAAACATATTAAGGTACATATGCAAATCATTTAAAGTAAATATTTATCCACTCTTTTGTAATTATTTTTTTCATTAATACAATGGTATGACAACAAACGTAATTTGTCGCTAATTTCAAATTTCATTTAGAATTCCATAGTTTATTGTTTATAGCAACTATTTTGCACTATTAGGACCTTGTTGCTCATATTATGTCTTTAATGTGTCTGTATAGTTATGTAAATACTTCTTTTATTACTTATTTTTTAGTTTTCTTTTGTTTTGTTTTTATTGTAATATGCATTTTGGCCAGATGTTATGTTAATTTTAACTATACAAGTTTAAAAAAACAAACAATCTTTCCCACAGTTTTCGCAATATATTTCCCGTTTCGATATTCAAGTTACTGGCCTAATATACTTTACACCAGCCACTATTTTTGAAAGCAGCGTCTCTGTAACGGCAGACAAGGTTCGTTTTACTGATAATAACATACACTTTCGTAATTTAAATTCAAACCTTCACCTACGATCAGATTGATTTTTAGACCCTGGCTCCAGGGTTATTAAGAAAACTGAGATCAAGAGAATCGTTTACCGGTAACCAGCTTTAGTGGAATAGATCCCAACTATCGTTTTGCACATTTGTTTTGAGAATACACGTGCTTTTTCTTTGTTAATGTCGCCTAACGTACTACTGCACCCCAAAGGCTATTTAGAAATTGGCCATTACAACAATTTTTAGAAAGCGCACACAAAGGTGGAAGGAAGCCTGAGTATATATAACACAATATATAAAATTATATACAGTAGCGACAGGGGACCCGGGACATTTTAGAGGAGAAAACATGAAAGCTACCGCCTCATTCTGTTTGTTGGACCTGTCATATGATTTACAACTTAACTGCAGGGTCATAAGCTTCTTCGTGACAGGAACTAGTTATATTCCTGTCCTTGAAGGAAAACTTCCAATTACCTTTCCTTTTTGAAGGATATTTATTACTGAAGCCCCACTCTAGTCCTTAAATATCAATATCCATCATCACAAAGTACCCCCAAAATAGAGGTAAATATATAAAGGGGTGAAGGCAGACCTCAACTACAAAAAGTTTATGAAAACAATGGTTCGATTATTCGCAGAAAATAAGTTACTATGTAATATGTATTACTTAAACTTCTAACTAAATAAAGTGTGATGGTCATAATATAAAAAATCTGGTGCGCGCAACACACAACTTTCACTTATCGCTCTACTTTGAATAGAAATTATTTTCTGGCAATGCTGGGTTATTATAAAATTTTTTGAAGTGCATTTTAAACGGAGCTAAAGCTTAAAGCTTACAGATAACAAGTCATTATGACCATTTTAATTACAAAAGGTCTTAATATATCGACGACAGGCAATAAAAATCTAGTCACTCCATCTGCTTTTATAAACCACTAACTACAATTTCAAGATTTTTGAGTGATGTCATTTTAGTAATATTTTTAGTTGAAAAAGTTATCTATGCAGACAATGAGTAAGTTGATTCCGGAGGTGGTTATTCCAGTGTTGAAATATAGAACTGAGAATAAAGGTATGAATTTAGGCACTTATTTCTTACTATTCCAACTCTGTTCCTACATACTATTCCAACTCTGTTCCTACATAATAATCCCATCAAATTTCACCCCACCATCAAAAATCTTGGAATAACCATTGATCAAACGCTTTCTTGGAAAAATCATATATCCAATATTTCCCGCCGTACCATTTCCATCCTAAAACGTCTTAACTACTCCCGTCACCTATTTCCTTTTGAAACCCGTAGGCTCCTAGTCACTTCCTTAATTTTTCCCCACTTTGACTATTGCTGTACGGTATATGGGGGCCTCTCTGGGGATCTCGAGGCGAAACTAAAACGTTTGATAAATTGCTTTGTACGATTCATCTTCGGGATCCCAAGGGACGCCTCTGTTTCCCATCTTTACGCGGAGTTAAATTGGCTTTATCCTTCCTACCGTCGTAAATATTTCCTGGCATCCTTCCTTTTTCAAGTCATCCAATCCCACCGTCCCTCATACATATCCAAGCTCCTTCAATTCAAATCCTCTGTTCGTTCCCGCAATACTCGTTCCCGGTCTTCTGATTTATACATAAGGGCCCACCGAACCGCTGCTTTCGACAAATCGTTCATTATCCGATCCTCATCTCTATGGAACTCCATCCCTTCCCATATCCGTCAATCTAATACCCTTCCTACCTTTAAATCCCGCCTGTTCAATCATTTCTTATCCATCCAGTCCCCATAAAATCGTAAATAGATACTACTGAAAATATGTACATAAGTTATTAGTTCGTTCTTCATTATTTGTTCTCCAATTTTTGTTTATCTATTTTTTTTTTCTCTTTTATTATCAACTGATCAAAATTGGAAAGCAACTTATATGTATATATGTATATATATATATATTATTTTTTTAACCAAGACTGTTCAATTACTCTGTATTTTTATTTATATATCTCTGAGGCTCCTTAGCCCTCATTTCTGTCTTCCTGTATTATTCTAAAGGGATTCGTCCCAGAATAAATAAAGTATTATTATTATTATTATTATTATTATTATTATTGAAAGATGTTCTTAGGAAAGATACTTTATTAAATATCTTTAGAAAAAAAGGTTTTTTTAGTCTCAACAATTTAAAACGTATATTTTAAATTTATCCAAATTTTCGCCTCTTCAGGGAAAAAAACTAGTGGCCATCTTTCCTCCTAATTGTCCGATTTTAAAGGTTTGTTTTTTGTTTTATTTCGGAAATTCCATAAACATTTACAAATCCTTATACAATATCAACAAAAAAGCGTATACTTTTTGAGTTATTCGGAATTTAATTTTACCATCCCTCGTAACTATTTTTCCAGCTTCTTTTCATTGAAGTATGTTATATAGATAAATTTAAAGGGTGTCGATAAAATGACTTTAGCGAAGTTTCATTAAAATCGATACATTCGTTTAGGCGCTACAGTCTATAGCAGCGCTGGTTTTTCTGCATTTTTATTTTTTTTCTCTTTTATTAACTTATCAAATTCTTTCAAAAGTTATATTTAGCATTTGTTCGTAGCCCTGAATAATGTGAAATGATTAACTTTTTAAAATAAACCATATTGAAGGTACTTTAGAAGAAGGCATATATGAACATTGGGCATTTAAGCCCTGTAAAGTGACATCAACGGGGATAAGACTTACATGATATTAAAGTCCACTTAATTACACAATGATACACCGAGTTTAATCTAAATCGTTAGAGCCATTTTTGAGAAAATTGTAAAAATGTATTTCAGCGTTCATATAAAGAGGTACTTCCGGTTAGCCGATTTTAACAAAAAAAGACCTTAAATACTTAATATCAGTTTCGCACTACTTTTCGTTTATGAGCTAGACTGTTAACACATACACACAGACACACACACACACAGACCATTTTGCGACACTTGGTTATTTGGACTCAGGGGACCTCAAAACATCTATTTCCATTGAAAACTGAGATTCGAAAACTTTCACGTTCGCAATACTTACCCTTACTATATATTACATATATACGTAAGTGAAAGTAAAAACGCTGCAAATTATTTCACAATGGTTTATTATTTTCAAA